AGAAAACTAAATTTCAAACCGAATCAAACTTTTCTCTTTTTTTTTTTAAACCATAAATCAATCAATTAATAAAATAAATAATCATAAATTAAATAAAATACTAAAATTTTAAAATTAAATTAAAAAACATGCCGGACTAAATGAGATTTCTACATATTTAATATATTTTTTTATTTTTATTATGATTTTTTCATAAAGTTAATTTGATATTATTAATTAAAAAATCAATTTTCTTATATCAAAAAATTTAAAAAAAGATTAAAAAAATAAATTTAAATGCCACATCACCACCTATATTAATTTTTTTACTAAATTATCTAATTTTAAAAAAGTATAAAAAGATATTTTTAATTATTAATATAAAATTGGCCCTATCCATAAAAGTATAAATATAAAAATATTTATTAAATATAGAAAGAAAAAAAAAGACAAACTTAAGAAAATGAAAATGACGGAAAGTAAAAAAAAAATAAAAAAATTGAGTTAGCACATAAGATGAGCAATAATTATTTTATTTTAAAAAAATTTATATCATGGATTTTTTATTTTAAAAAAAGTAAGGATTAAAAGAATAAAAGTAATATATGATGTTGACATCTCAATTAATAATATTTTTTTATAAAAAATATTAAATAAAAAAGCAAAAATAACTAAAAAAATATTTTTAATAATAATATCAAATTGACTAACATTTTAAAAATTAAAAATATTTCAAAATATTTATTAAATAAAAAGGGAAAATTGTAAATAGGAAAAAATTAAAAAGCAAAGGCAAAAAAAAAAAAGAATTAAATTACTTGACGACTTGAAAAAAATGAGAAATATAAAATACATAAAAATATAAAACTGAAAAATATAAAACAAAAACTTATATAATGGGTCCATTAAAAAAATAAAATACATAAAAAAATTTTTAAAAGCCGAACTGTGAAAAAAAAAAGTGAGCCCCACCAACATAAAAATTTTTAGGTTTCACTTTTAAAAAATTTTATAATTAAATATAAGAAAATTAAAAATATATATGGTATATAAAAAATTAAAAGGAAAAGTTAATCCCATAAAAAGCTATGGGCCTCATCGAATAAAAAGAATTTTATTAAAAAACATAAAGCAAAAAATTTCAAAAGCCAAACCTTGAAAAAAACAAAAAAGGTGGAACCCTCCGAAACAAAAAAAAAAAAAGTTGTGGGTCTCACATTAAAAAAATTATAAATTTAATTATAGAAAAATAAAAAGTCAAAAGTCAACAAGGATCCCACTGAAAAAGCTATGGGCTCCACCTAATAAAAAATTTTTTATAATAAAATATATAGAAACTAAAAAAAATGAGAACCACACACAAAACTTACAGCATTTATATCGTTGATGGAAGATAGATTTCAAATGGACCTCACAATAAAAAATATATATTTAATAATATTGATTAAATAAAAAAGAAAATGTAAGGAAAAAATATAAGAAAAAAAGGAAAAAATAATGACACATGTTATATATTTGATATCAAATGAATGTAACAAAAAAATAAAACGAGTGACATTCTTTTGATAGCAACTAAATATAACCAAAAATTTAAAATCTAAAAAATTATTTATTAAATTTTATTTTTAAAAAGTAAAAAAAATTATTGTCAAGTGGACCTCACACACACAAAATTTAAAAAAATTATAAATATAAAAAAACACCTTTTAAATATATATATAAAATAAAAAATAAAAAACATAAAAAGCATAGCAGAACAACACGTGACCAAACAGTACATAAGTACATTTGCAATATTTATATTTTAAATAACTAGATAGATATAGATAAATAGAAGTTATTAAATATTTTATATATTACTTTAAATAGTGAAATATAGAGTTAATAATAAAAATGATAATTTCAAATTTCTCTCGTGTGATTATTTGAAATTTGTAATAACATTTTTCAAAATATTTTGTTAAGTTGAGGAAAAATATTAGTGGTAAGGGAAAATTCCCTTTTTTTGTCATTATGCTTTGAATTTTGTAAGAGTATTTTAGGAATAAAATCTTGAATGTATCAAATTAATATGAGAGAATGCTTTCTTAAAATCATTCAGAAATAAGTTAGCTTGGATCAATTTGGAAAAGGGATGTCTAGGCAAAGCTGGAGAATTCTTTGTTGCTAAATACAAAAAAAAAAATCTAAGGATACTCTTGACCATATTTAAAAAAAATAAATATAATAAATTATTATTATCTTTATTAGTATTGTTATGATTGATGTTATTGTTATTGTTGTTATTATTATTATTATTATTAAAATTAAAAAATTTTAGCTTATTGGATAAATGAAATAATAAAAATAATAATAGAAATATAATTGAATATTTTTGTATGATTAAATAAGCATACTAATAAATTTTATTAAAAATAATATTATTTGAATAATTAAAAAAATTGAGAGAATATAGATGACTAAAGTAGGAAAATAGCTCTTGAACATTATTATTATACTTAGATAATTTTTTATACTTTTATTATGTCCTATAGGTCTTTGAATTTTAATTTGTATTTAAATAAACTTTTAATCTTTAGCCTATATTTAAATTAATTTTTAATATAAATTAATTTTTATTTGAAATAAGAATTTATTTATATACAAATTAAAAATAAAAATTTATTTAGATATAATAAAAATATAAAAATTTATTTAAATAAAATAAAATAACTCAAAGTTTTTTAAAAAAATATTTTTAGCCTTTATAAATACTAAATCCAAACACATATTTTTATAGAAAATATTTGAAAACAAATTTAAAATGAGGTGGATGGATACAATTATTATTAAATAAAGATTTAAATAATTTAATAATTGAATCTTTATTATTTAAAAAAAAGAAAATAGAATTTTTTGCTTTTCTTGCAATTCCTGGTAACATAAAATGTGTTGGTCTTTTCATTTAAGATGAGTTTTACTTTAAAAATTAACAACAAAAAGTAAATATAAAAAATTATAAAAGAATTACTATTTACAAAAAATCGTCAATTAATTAAATTATTCTCTTTTACATCATGGACTGAATTTTAAACTTTACAAATGAATTAAAATATTATTATATATTTTTTATTGATATATTAATTTAATATTTAATAAATTTTAATTTCATTAATAAATTTTATTTTTTTCTTAAAAATATAAAAAAGATCATGAGAGTTTTCTTGATTCCTTATTATAAAAAGTAAAAGGTAAAATATATAAATAATCACTAAAATAGAGGAATTGTTTTAAAATGATTATTAAAATATTAATTTTTTCAATTTAATTCATTAAATTGGACTATATATTGTTTTCGTCACTCAACTCTTAATATCTAATCCACATTAGTTGTGTGATGTGACACCGTCACATCTCTGACATAACTTTTATAAATTTTAATAAAATAAATAAATTTTAGTCATTTGATTTTTAAAAATTTTTCGTTTTGACTATTCAATTTTAAAAATTTATAATTTGGTTATTAATAAATAAATTTTTAAATTTTATAAAAATAAAAATATTTTTATTTTATGAAATTAAATTATAAATTTTTTATTTTATTACAATTATACTACTTAAATTTGAAAAATAAATAATAATTAAAATATCATTGTTTCAAATCTTTATGATTCAATCCATCCAAATAAATTCAATTAAGGATTTCATATTTTATAATGTTAAAATTCTAATTATAATAAAAATTCATAATTTTAATTTCATATAATAAAATAGTGAAAGAAATATTGATAACATAAATTTATTACAATTAGAACTTTGACATTATAAAATATAAAATTTATTAATATTTTGATTACTAATATCTATAAAATTTATTAATATTTTGTCTTTATTGTTAATAATTCATTGGCATCATGAATTTATAACTAGTTGATTACCTATGTTTATGAAATTTAATATAATAATTTATTTTATTATTTATGTTATCTATTGAAATATGTTAGGATAATATTCAAATAAATTATTGAATTTTATAAAAACATACAATATTTTTATTCCAAGAAATTGAACCATGATTTTTATTTTTTTTTATAGTTATACCATTTAAATTTGAAAATAGATGAATATTAATCTATTGTCAAAATTACTAAAATATTATTGCTTAAATATTTGTCATTCAATGAATTCATATAACTTCAAGTATTTATTTTAAATTTTAAATTTTGGTCACTAACTTTTGTGAAATTATTAATATTTGGATATCATTCTTAATGTAGATTTATAATGATTTAATCATTAATTGTTTGTGAAATTTAATATAATAAATTATTTTATTTTTATCTATATTTTCTTTTAATATTTTATTACATGAATTAAAATTATATCTTGATATTATAAAATATAAAATACTTATTTAAGTTTATTTAGATGAGTTGAATAATAAATATTTGGAGTAATATTATTTTAGTAATTTTTTCAAGTGGATAATATTTATTTAATTTTCAAATTTAAATGGTATAATTACACAAAAATAAAAAAATTATAATTTAATTGTATGCAATGAAAAATCAAATATTTATTATTTTTATAAAAATTAAGAATTATTTGTTAGTGATCAAATTGTAAGTTTTTAAAATTGAATGATCAAAATAAAAATTTTTTAAATAACTTTTTTAAAAAATTAAATTATCAAAATTTATTTATTTTTATCAAAATTTATAAAAATCAAATCAATAATATTACATGATTTGTCAAATATCGTGATAATATCATATGATACTTGATATTTAACATGATATTATTACATCAATATATTATTAAACGTTAATAGTAGAGTGATAAAAAATATTTTATTTAAATTTAAATGATTAAATTAAAAATATTAATAATTTAATGATCATTTTATAATAATTACTAAAATTGACTCACTATTTATGTATTTTATCCAAAATTAAAAGCCAAAAGTAAAGAGAAAAAAAGCAAAAAAGTTGAGGTGTGAAGAACGCGTCATGGAGTTAAAGCAAGGAACGCGGTGTGTGAACATACGATCCATTGTCTAACAAAAAAAAAAAAAAGACTTAGATCCATTCCTCCTTCAACTAACACTTGTCTGCCTCCTCTTGTTCTCACATGCTACTCTCTCTCTTTCTTTGTTTCCTTCCTTAACTTGCATCTGTCTTTGTCTGATTTTTTGTTTCTTGCCTTCTCTTGGCCGCTGCATCATCACCACAACCCTCTTTCCTTTTAAGGAAACTATGGCTGGCAGAGAAATCCTCAGTAAAATGAAGGTATGCTCTCTCTCTCTCTCTCTCTTTTATCTTTTGGGTTTTTTTTTTTTTTTTAATGTGTTAGATCATGTTATATAAATGTTTTTCTTTGTTGTTGTTGTTGTTAGACTTTGCATAATCTGATGTATCTTTTTTGGTACATATGAAGAGGTCCAAGGAGATAAAAGGGGTTGAGCCTTGGACCTTATCTTTCCTAAGAAAGGATCGCAATCATTAGTTTTGGTTTTTGATTCGTTGTGTTTTGAAAATGATATGCAATATTGACATGTTTTATAAGGACTATGGGGAGGAATATTTGTAATCTGGGGTTCTTTTTTGTTTGGTATAGAATGGAATGTATTTGAATGACTTGAAAAATAGATGATTTTGTATGGTCTTCACTCTTTATCTAGATTGTCTTCACATGTTATTAATCTCCTTTCTGGCACTAAGCTTTGCAAGATCATAAGGTGATTGGTTTTGGGTTGAGATATAAACCTGTGTAGGTCTTGAACAGGGGATTGACTCTTTCGATGTGCAAGATCAGCTATGTAAAATTATAGGAAATTGTTTGAACTAGTTTGTGGTATTCTAATGTGTTACATTTGGAAGAATTGGAGGTTTTAGATAATTTATTCTCAGGTAATGAATGCAATTAGTCTGAATTTTTGCCTTAACGATGTGCCAATATTGCAGAATTGCTTGACCAGTTGAATAAACAAAGGCTAAGTTGACCTGAAAAATTATCTAATAAAGTTCCCATAAGAAAATGAAATTGTTGAAGTTTTATTTAGAAATTAGGACCCAGTTGACTTATTAAACTTGTTCCAAAGAGCAAAGAGTAAGAGCGCAGATTCCTTTTGCACAAGTTATAATCAATTAACTGCATTCTAAACTAAGCAGAAAGACATTTTGATTTTATAATCACAAAACTTTGCTGTTGATGGTGTGTTTATCTTAATCAATGAGGATTTCTATAAAAAATTCTGTATATTTCTAGATTGTTTCCATTATTTTTCTTTACTGTTTACTCGGCTGCTTATATTGATTTACTGCAGGAAAAAGTACAAGAAAAAGTTGGCTTAGGTTCCACAGCTGAATCTGGAAAAGGGAAAAGTAAGATGTCAAAGAACATAACACATGGTTACCATTTAGTTAAGGGGAAAGCGCATCATCCCATGGAAGACTATGTTGTTGCAGAATTTAAGCAAGTTGGTGACCGCGAGCTTGGTTTATTTGCTATATTTGACGGTCATATGAGCCATGTTATTCCTGATTATTTGAAGTCACATTTGTTTGATAACATCTTGAACGAGGTAATGCATAATGCTGGCATGTTATCCTATAATCTTCTGGAGCATCTATATGTTCTGCTCTCTAGTTTAAACTTTGTATCAGTATTCTTTCAAACTTATAACAAATCGGAGTTCATTCTTATTTAATTGTCATCATCACACTTTCTACCAAGCATGTGTCTTAGTTTCATTTTCTAGGATGCAATATATTTTTATCCTTCTTTATTTCTTTTCCTGCAAGCAGGCTGACTTTTGGACAGAACCAGAGAATGCAATTAGGAAAGCATATAGTATAACGGATACAAATATATTGGAAAAAGCAGTTGATTTGGGCCGAGGGGGTTCAACAGCAGTCACAGCAATATTGATCAACTGCCAGAAGCTAGTAATAGCAAATGTTGGTGATTCTCGGGCTGTTATCTGTAAGAATGGTGAGGCTAAACAGCTGTCAGTTGATCATGAGCCCTCCACAGAAAAGGAGAGCATTGAAAATAGAGGTGGTTTTGTGTCAAACTTTCCAGGTAATGGGTTGTAATATATTTTTGAATTTATTTGGCAACTCATTAATAACTCGATCATGATTAATGAACCTTTCTTTTCATCATTCTACTCAAGGCTACGCTTTCCTTTGTCCTGATCTAAAAAACTGCAAGGTTTGTTGTTATTTCAGGGGATGTTCCACGGGTTGATGGGCAGTTGGCTGTGGCAAGGGCATTTGGTGACAAGAGTTTAAAGAAACATCTTAGTTCAGATCCAGATGTGACGGTAGAGATGATTGATGATGATACAGAGTTAATAATATTGGCAAGTGATGGTTTATGGAAGGTTGGCCCTATCTAAACGTGTCATAATCCTAAAACACTATATATTAGTCTTTGCTTAATGCATTTTTCTTTTGTTGAAACTGCACATTGCACCCAATATTTTACAGTCTGTTCCTTCATGTTGTTTCCAGGTAATGGCGAACCAAGAAGCTGTCGATGCTATCAGGAACGTTAAGGATGCTCGGGCTGCAGCAAAGCACCTAACCGAGGAAGCTGTTAAGAGGAACAGCAAAGATGACATTTCCTGCATTGTTGTAAGATTTTAGTGGTCTGTCCTGCTTTCATTTGATAACAAACTCTTTGCCAATGATGTGCAAGCACCTCTGTTATGTTAATAGAATGTTAATGCATATTTTGTGTTATGTCAGAAGCTTTCTATACATAAGCAAAATGTACTGAAGCTGTCTAATGAACTAAATTAGATTGGGATGTGACCAACAGATTGTTCTACTTAGTTGCTTCTCCCATTGCATCAATATTCATATATATTTGTTAAGAATATGCATTTTTGCATAGCAAAAAGAACATTCGAAATAAGCCTCAAGTCTGAAGAAATCTCGAGGAGAGATTGAGAAAGTATCTTATAACCAATGGCTACTGGCTATTATTTCAAAAAACATTAGTTTTTTGGTACAAAAGAGGCCGTAGCCTGGAAAGAGAGAAAGGAGTTGCAGGTGCTAAGTTTTTTAGCCATAGAACATTCCATCCTAGCTTACTCATGGCTGTAGCAGTTTCAGCCGATTGAATACTAATACCCCATTAAATTTCAGAATTTGTATCGACAAACAAAATTTCCCTTGGATATTACTCCATAGATTCAAGAGTTTATATTTGAAATGTAAGATTTTCTTAATATTTTAAGGGAAAAACTCCAAAAACTACCATCCAGGCATATGTGGAAGCAGAAGCTGTAGAACTAATATAAAAAGAATGGGCATCTCCAAATGATGTTGCTGTTTAACATTTTTTTTTTCTCTTAATAATTAGTTTTTAATGAAATTCATCACATGAATAGATATTCCTCAGGTTTGAGTAAAGTCATCTCAGGTTGATCAGTTTAAGAAGATAGAGAATTTGAGTCAATTGGAGTTGAACGTTTTATGCAAGTTTCGATACAACGTTCTTGTTCATTTACTTCAGATTTTTGTCACTTTTGCACTGTCAAAGATAGTAAACAGGTTTGAGTTCAGATTCAATCTTAGGGATGATTGCTTTGCTCCTGTTGAATGGCCAAAATTTGTACATATCATGCTCGGTACTTAAAACAAATCCAAAGGTTCGCAATCAACAAGGTCATCGGGCATATGTAATATATATAACCGTTGATATAATAGAAGACTCCATAGACGAAGGGCTATTAGTATAGAAAACATAGATTACGCGGCAAGGCAAGACGCAAGGACACAAGCTTCGGAAGCCTTGATAATCGACTTCAGTTTCGATCATAGTATAGTAACTGCTACATAGTGCAAAGACAAGAACCATTGGATGACAGAAGAGAGGGAGCATGCGGGTAGCTCCTTATCTGATTTGGGAACGCTTAAAAGATGAATTGCCTGGGATTGCTATTGGAACTCTGGCTCTTTGATCATCAGCCTGCTTGAAATGACTCTCTTTCAACTGAGGACTCGTACCTTTGCGACTTGAGCCTTCTGCAGATGATTCAGCTGAGCTCTTCCTACGCCTTTCATTGTGTCCGGCCAAACGCCTACGACAGCTCCTTTTTGCCTCATCAAACTCTGATAGCTCATGGAACCTGTGAAGTATACCACGAAATATAGACCAAGCACCATTAATTATTAAGGGAGCATTGCCCTGTTTCATGTTTAGCCTTCTACTGCAGGCTGAAAATATCGGTACATTTAAATCAAGCCATTGCATTCTAACTGTTATAACTGTGAAAGTATTTCTTGTGCCATAATTGGAAATGAAGATTGAGAATAGGGTATTCCTCATAGGAATAACTAAAAGGGAAATATATCCAAATGAATGATTTATTTGCACTGTGGTCTATTTTATTGCTGAATACATGTAGGAAAAGAAATTAGATTCTCAAATTGAAAATCTCAGACTTGTTCTTTTCTTTTAGCAGAGAAGTAGCCATTTCTTCAATCTCATTGTAAAGAAAGAAAACCCCTCAAATTCTCCCAATTCAGTACAGCTTCTTGATTGGTTTTTTCACCTGATTTCTTGGGTGGTATGTGCTGCAAAGATCTTCATTTAATGTGTTTCATTTATATCCCATTAAGATTAGATGGTTTAAATACGAAAAATTTGGGGTCTGATACCATATTCAAGAACTGTTCAAGTTAAAAGTTTAAACTGATTGACTTGTAGGTCAAGTAATTAACTTTTAATTGTCAAGAGTAGCTTGAATTAAGATTAAAATGAATTCTTGTATTAGTAACTAAGAAATAATTAAATGAGAAACAAAAACCAAAACCTGCTGCATTGCTGACAGAAGCGCTGCCTCATACCAGCAACGACCACAACCTGCGCCTTAGAATGAATCTCACACACCTTATGGCGCCTGTGGTATCGCTTGGCATCTGATAAATCAAGCCCACATTTTTCCACTTGACAAGAAGGAGGTGACACCCCACCACCACCAACACCACTACTAGACCCTCTCTTTCCATATGCTTTCTTCCTCTTTTCATCATCGGGAAAACCTTGATCTCCAACACCCTCTTCTTCTTCTTCTTCTTCCATGTCATTGTCAAGATCTTCAGCTATGAAATCCTTACTCATGTTTGCTTTCAAAGCACTCTTTCTTCTGAAGCCTGTAGCTTCCATTGCAGGCGAAGGAGCTATAAATAATGGAGTGGTGATGAAATGTTGAAAGCAATGTTTGTGGGACTTTGAAGAAATGAAGAAGAGGTGAAAGGAAAAGGGTGAAGAAAAGGTTGAGGACCACATGAAACATTTTCTTATTGTATGCTTGCTTGTGTGTCAGTGTATTGTTGTATGGTGAATGATTGGAAGTTCAAAAAGAAGCAGCTGGGAATTTGGTTTGTTCTGATATGCAATTACTAGAAGTTTTCAGTGAATCTCTCACAAACTCAAATTATTGCTTCTCCCTAGGTAGTTTGAATTCAGGTCATGTTTTGGTTATAAATTATGATAGTTCAATCATTCAGTGTTAGAACATTTTTGAGTCAAATTAAATGAAATTTCTTTGAAACTTCGAACACTTTCAGACTGTCAGTTTTAAACAGATCTAAATTAGGGGATTGGATCAATCATTCAATTGTCCCTCCTACTTTCCATTTGGATGATCATGTCACATGTTTCACACAGCATTACCTGAGGAAAGCAACAAAATCTTACCGATGAAGTCATTATCTATTAGACTTCAAACAAAGCTCTCATTGGACAGTACACTGTAATTGTTTCAAATCACTAAACCTATGGTCTGAGTTCTCCTCCTGATTTCTCTTTGTACAATTCTCCTTAAGTTAAACTTCTTTTCAAAGCCAAAACTTGTGCTTTTGCCTGATAATATTGGAAACATTCACGATTTACTTGCACAACTGGAGTTCATTACTGCAGACAAGAAGGGTTTATCGTAAATTTTAACAAAAAGTGTGTTTCTCAATAATATAAGACAATAGGAGTTTTTTTTTTTTTTAAACACCTTCAATAATTTTTTTTTTTTTTAGAAGAAATCATTCAATATTTTTTTTGTCAAAAATACCTTCAATAATATATATTTTTTGGATTATTTAAGTCATTTTAACAAAAAAAAAAATCTTAAATAATCTTTTATAAAAAATTGAATAGGATTATTTAAAGTATTTTTGACAAAAAAATATTTTTAATAATTCTCTCCAATTTTGTTTTGAGGATTATTCAAAGTATTTTTGTCTAAAAAACATTTTGAATAATCCCCTTTCATTTTTTTTTTGAAAAAAATCGCTTTGAATAATTTTTTTAAAAAAATTAAATAGTATTAGTCAAGATGTTTCTAGTTAAAAACGTTTTGAATAATCCCTTTTCAATTTTTATGAGCGGATTATTTAATATATTTTTGACAAAAAATACTTTAATAATTTTTTCTAATTTTTTTTAAAGATTATTTAAGTATTTTTTTTTAAAATATCTTGAATAATCTCTTTTAATTTTTTAGAAAATATATTGAATAATCCCTTAGAAAACCTTTGAATGAGGTTAGTTAAATGGTTTTTGATTAAAAACACTTTAAATAATCTCATTTTATTTTTTTAAAGATATTATTAAATGTGTTTTCATGCCAAACATCATATATAAATCAAATTTTTTATTAGTAAAAATTTATAACTAACTTGTATTCATTTTTAGACATATTTTTTAAAATGATAACGATTATTTCATAATTTTTTAATTAAATTAAATTTAAAAATAACATTAATTTTCTCTCGAAATCTTAAAATTTTATAAAAAGAGATAAATTTTTAATTTTGAAAATTTAAATATGGTTAAAAATCTATCAATTTTTTTAAAAAATCAAATTATTTTAAATCAAATATTAAAATCAAATATTCAATAATAAAATTTCAAAAAAATATATATAAACTTTTTCGAGCCAAACTTTTCTTTATTATATAATTAAAGCAGTGAGACCTAAAAAAAATGTTATTCTTGAAACTAACTTAAATTTGCCATCAACCGTGCGGTCCATCAGTAGAATATCGCTGAATTCTTGATTTGAGTGATTAAGTTCAATCACTGACAGCTACTAATACCAAAAATCAATTTGATTTGAAAACTGAGACAAACCATTGATTAATTTTTTAGGTACTATAGTTGAGAACAAATTCTACAGCTTGTAAAATTTAAACACCTGTTGCTGAGAGACTCTTGAGAGAGACATATCACAGGTCATTGAGATGAATCCTATAATGGACTGTACAGCACCAAATGGTTCACAAAAAAAAAAAAATCTGCCTGTTTGAGTTGGACAAGCTTTTAGCGTAGCAGAGCACCCTATACTTTTTTCTCCATCTCAAATGGGCTAACATCTCTCCAGTCTTTAGTCCATGCTTTATTCCCTATCTTACTTTATCTAAATCTGTCTTTACCAGATGTGAAAGCAATATTTCCTTTGATTTCAATGTTTATACCATTGAATTTCATTACATGAATGGCCCATAGCTGCTCCATCGTTGATAGAATATTAAAATTATAATTATAGTTTCAATAATCAAGATTTAAATTTTAAAATTTTCAATTAAAAAAAAAGGTATCGGACGAACGTGAAACTCCCTTTAACGGTACAAAGGGGATAGCTAGAAAAAAAAAATATATATGGTGACATTGACACAACACTAGATTTCACATGCCATTGTACTAGGATACCCAATAAAACTAGTCAAAACTTACAGTGCAGACTTATCTTCAGCTCGAAGTTTGTATGTGTGTGAAACAAAAAAAAAAAAAAAAAAACCCTACCAAGGAGTCGAAAATTTTGAACTTAAATTTGCAAAAAGCATGTCCTATCCTATCGACAAAATGTTAGATGAGAATCATATAAGAGACATGAAAGATCTAAATGGCTGCCAACTATATACACACATATCAATTCCGCCCACAGAACCACCGTGGTCCTATCTATCATCTAACTTTTCACCTCCACACTCTTCCGCGTCGCTCTTTTTCGAGTAAAATCAAATGCTTTATATCTATCATTCAACATCATTATTTTTTTTTTCATTTTTTTCTTCACCACTATACCATCAAATGCCCATCACTCTCATTTGAGTTGGGTTTTGTTCCATCTCCATCTCCTTAGATTCTTTTATCTTCGTTTTGTTTCTTTCACTTATAGCCTTACAATATTTAATTAGATTTAAAACAAAAAATGAGCATGAAAATTAATATTAGTAATTTAAATTTCAAATTTATTGAATTTTGTAATTGTATAATCAATTGGAGTGCATTCAACTTATTTAACATTCGCCTCTATCTTCCTTCCTTGTAAGAAGATATAGCAATGACTTTTTTTGATAAAAAATATATTTTGAATTAGTGGTGTAGATATCTTATTTTGTTCGAAGATTTTTTTTGAGACGAAAAACGGACCTTTGAGCCAAATAAGAAAAATTTTAATTTTTTAATTTATTTGATTGTATTTTTTTGTTTAATATTATTTTATTTTATTTTTATCTTTTTTCAAAAAAAGTCAAAAAATGAAAAAGAAAGTTTGAAAATTTTGGATTTAACCCTATTGGGCTTGATTTATGCACAATCAAATTAATAAAATCACAAAAAATCCTAGATTAATCGGTTTGATTTCTATAAAACTAACACAATCAACCACACAAAAAGGATACACGAGGAAGGAGAAGAGTTGAGGTTTTTTTTTTTTTTTTTTTTTTCTGTGGTTTCTAAAAATTTTGGGGAAGTGTTTTTTTTAAGTTTTTAAATTTGGGAATTAGTGGAAGATACAAAAAAATCAGAAGCTTGAGATTCATTTTGGATTTTTTGGGTTTGTGTTGTTTAATTAGGTTTTTCCTGAGATTATAAGAAGTTTTAGGGTTTTGATTTTTTTAGGTTTTGATTTCTAGGATTTTTTAATGTTGCATGTTGAATTCTTGGACTATGAGAAGGTAATTTTAATCATGGGTTCATGTTTTTTGAGTTTTGGCTTGAATTGCTAGGATTTAATTTGAATTTTGATAATATTCTAGGTTTTATATGAACTTTCGACAAAAATTTAAGTTTTTCGGTAAGAGTTATGGTGGCTGGAGGGGCTTCATAGTGGTCGTGTTCTGGGTTCATCAATTTCTTTAGAAAAATTTAAAGTTTTTAGTAGTTGGTTGAACTTTTCAGTGCTAGAAACTAAATTTTTAGTCGAAAACTAGGGAAGAAGAGTATTCTAGTGGCTGTTCTAAAGAGAGGACAAAGCAAATTTTGTTTAGAGAGAGAAGGAACTGACCAAGTTTGAAAATAAAAACTAACATTTGGCTTTTATGTGAAAGTAAAACGACGTTGTTTTCAACTAAGTTATGACCTAGTTGACTTGTGCTGGATCTACACGTTCATCCAGCTTCAGACTTGCCCGTTTCGCAAGTTTGACTTTTTTTTTTTTTTGCTTTTTTTGTTTATTTTGTTTATTTATTTATTTATACATTATATATTATTTATATTTACTATTTTAAATAGTTGTTTGAATTTAGTGAGAAAAGGAAAAGGAAAAATAGTTTATTTTTGCATATTTTTTTGAATTTATTCATTTATTTTATTTATTTTAGCATGAGTTTAATATATGTGCATTATTTTTTAAATATCTAATTACATGTTTTTTGTATGATTTATTAAATATATTGCATAATTACATGATTATATTTTATTGCATGATAGTTTTTGCATGATAATTTTTGTTTATTTTAATTTTTTCTCAAATTTAAAAAAAGAGTTTAAATTTTTTTCTATCCTACCAAACTGTTGGAGGATTTAAATATTAAATTACATCTTACCAAACTATTTAAAGATTTAATGAATTTTCTTAAAATAAATTCTATAAGTGATTTTTTTTTCAAATAAAATCTCACTAAATTATTAGGAGATTTGCATTAAAGTAAAATTTACCAAACTATTGAAAGATTTTATTAATTATTATTTTGAATAAAAATTAAGTGAATTTGATGACAGAGTCTTTTCAGAGTGGGACACTAGTTTTCATGAATACTCATTAGGTGAAAAAATTATCTTAAATTATTACCAAACTATTGGAATAATTTTAAGATCAATTTTCAATAATTAAATTATGTGATAAATTACAAAGAGATTTTATGACTTGGATAATTGAAAATCAAACTGGTACCATTTTTTTGGATGGGTGGTGTGAGGGTGCTTTAACATTCTTTATGCATAACCGCATTCCCAAACCTAAATATGATTTCATGGACTAAAATCTACTATTTAAAGATACCTAAGTCAATCTTAAAACTCTTCTTTAAATGTGACAGATTCATTTAGGTGATCAATTGCACATAAACAAAAAAAAGATTGGTGACGACTCCTAAAGTCTACGTCTAGTGGTAAGTCTACGAATCAATACGTTATGATAGTTTGATAACTTCACTAAAGACATCGAGAGTCAGTTTAGTAAATGATTTCTTGTTATCCAAGCCATAATAAATTTAAGAATTTTTCTCTTTATTTGTATTTTATTTATTTATTCATTTTATATATTTGTCATTTATTTGCACATGCATAATTTAAACTCTATGCTCGAGTTCTGTCCCTTATGAGGGAGTAAAATATCTACGCTTTTGTGAGATTTCATGTCTTCACATGGACTAGCGAAAAACTACCACTCAAATTGAATCCCTTTCTCTTATAGCCTATA